TTTTTTTTTTTTTTTTTTTTTTTGTCCCATTTACAAACTAAAGGATTTGAATGATACCAAGAATTGCTCTTCATTACATGATATAATTTTCTTACCTCCCATCGAGGTTTATATAGAAAATTGGCATAAGCGTTTTGTGTTTATTCCCTATAAAAGTATATTCGGCACCACAAACTATCTGGTGGCTGCAATGAGAACGTCTTTCAAGCTCACCTCCCATTAGACCTCCTTAAGGCTGAAGTGTGCAATTCTTACCTTGTTCTTTCACTCTCTATACACCTAAACGATGTCGTGGACCAAGTAAATAACTAGAACAACTACTACTCTAAAGGCCTTGTGCTAGTGACAAAGACTACGTCTTAAAAAAATGGTGGAATGGTGCTTTATTTGTTCTCCCGCAATCCTTTCTTTTTTTTTCTTTGATATTGCTCCATTGTCCTTCCAAATTGAATTCGACTATGTGAGCTTTCCATTTAAATTCTAGTAGATGCTGAAAACTAGATGTGTAAATATTGTGTCAAAGTTCCTATTTGCAGTTTTCTTCAATCTTAAACACAATCTATCTGAAATCTGCTCAATGTTAGCAACTGCAACTTTTAATTTTTTCTTCTTGTCTTCTTTGAATAAGGTCCAAGAGAGAGGCTGGAAAGCTTGTTAACTGAAGCTGGGAATAAATTTTGTGCAGATTGTGGATCACCAGATCCCAAGTGGGTGTAAGTCGTAAGCCGTACCACTTTCTTTAATATATACAGATTGGTCACTTGTTGATGTTTTTATTTATCTTTAGTTTTACTGAAATTCCTACTATGGTTATAGTAGTATATCGTCTCGATACTGACCAACAGAATCTCGAAATTTTGATTTACTGGGTTTTTCTCTAGCTGTTGTAATTTGTAGATGTATTGTGGGCATTCAGGTCTGTGAGCATTGGAGCTTTCATTTGTATAAAATGCTCTGGCGTACACAGAAGCCTTGGAGTGCATATATCAAAGGTTGGAGCTAATTGACTTATCAATCTGAGCCGTCGATTGTTATGAAGTAGTGTTCAATTTAGCTTTTATCCTCATGGCTTTTCAGCTTTATGTTTTCATCTCATTCATCCACAATAGAACCTTTGTATTATTTGATTTTTATTTTTTTTTTTATTTACGTAGCATTCAACATTATGAGGAATTTCCATAAAATATTTTAAGAGTGATATCATGGCTAAATTTTGTTAACCTCGTTAAATTCTATAATTTGAGTGGTTTGAAACTTAGTGTGATATCTTGGCTAAATTTTCTTAACCTCGTTAAATTCTTTAGTTTTGAGTGGTTTTGATACTTAGTGTGAGACAATAGAAGTTGATGATTATTACCAGATTATACGTTTTCATTTCCAAATTTCAATATATCAGATTTTACTGCTTTGCCTATGTTCATTTTGCAGGTATTGTCGGTTAAACTTGACGAGTGGTCCCATGAGCAAGTTGATGCCTTGATCGAGATGGGTGGAAACACTGCCGTGAACTTGAAATACGAAGCTCACATTCCTGATAATGTCAAAAAACCGAAGCCTGATTCCTCTGCCGAGGAACGCGCTGATTTTATAAGGTACTAGATTGATGACAATACTTTTTTCAAACTTTTTTTTTTTTCTTTTACTTTTCCTTTTTTTTTTCTTTCTAGTTAGAACATGTATTAAAATCAAAAATTGCCCATTTGTTTTTTGTTTTGTTTTTTTTAAGGAGAAAATACGAGCTGCATCAGTTTTCAAACTGTGATTTAACTCTGGCTTGCCCATTTCCATCTCCATTATCGTCCTCCAACTGCACTTCCTCAGTCTGTAGTTTTCAGTCGGACCCTGAGAAGAAACACTATGAAAAACAAACGACGGGTCATCGTAAACAAGGTCTAGGGCACGCGTTTCGTAACAGCTGGAGGAGAACAGAACACAAGCCAACAAAGAAAACTAACTCAATGGTAATAGTTGCTGTTCATAAAAAAAAAATGCTCTTACTGTACAAAAATAGCACAACTGCACTTGTTTTCCATGACCTAAACGAAGTGAAGAAAAAAGAAAGAACAGAAGTACTAAGTTTTGATCCCAACTGAGCATCAAAAGCTAAATTTAGGAGCTGAGCCTCAGTTATACCAGAAGCTGAAAAAAATGAACCTCTATTGAAATATTTCAAATGAAAAAATGTTCTTTGAGATGGCCACTTCCATTGTATACGTTGTGTGCAAAAATAAAGTCACGCCGTTTTATTGTAGCCATGGTACTAAAAGTCTCTCATTCCTTCTATTTTCTTTTTCTATTTCTTGTTCCTTTTCTTTTTATTCTCGGGTGTAGGTGCATAATTCTTTGTATATCAAATTATGTTGTATAGGCAGGTATGGTCGAATTTGTAGGATTGATTAAGGTTAATATAGTGAGGGGCACCAACTTGGCTATACGTGATATGGTGACGAGTGATCCATACGTCATCCTCACCTTGGGAAATCAGGTAATGTCCTTCTCACTCGTTTTATGACATATGTTTAAAGATTTATACTAATCTAAGCTCTTGCTCGATTGCTTTTGCATTGACTTGTTAACTTTTTGGTGCAGTCGATGAAGACACGGGTTATAAAGAATAATCTGAACCCAGTTTGGAATGAAAGTCTAATGTTGTCAATCCCAGAAAGTATACCTCCTCTGAAGTTGGTGAGTTTTCTTCCTCACTCGAGAGTAATACTCTTCACATTTTCTGTGATCTATTTGGAGTAAGAGAAATTTGGAATTAACTGAATTTCTAGCAAAATGTTTCTGGCAGAAAGTGTTCTGTCGCACGGACCGAAAAGAAACAGCCTTTTTTTTATCCTTTTCCCCTGGTTTTAGGGTTCGAAAGTGTGCCTATCTTTTATGATTTATAAACTTTTTTAGGACCAAAAACAAAAAAAATAAAAGAAAAAATAATACATGACTAATCTTTAACCTGCTTTTCTATCATTCCATGTAAAATGTATCTCTCGGCCAGCTTGTTTACGACAAGGATACATTCTCGACTGATGATTTCATGGGGAATGCTGAGATCGACATTCAGCCCTTACTCTCGGCTGCCAAGGCTTCGGAATCGTCCTCGATCAGCGAGTCAACACTGCTCGGAAAATGGAAAGCAGGACAAGACAACACGCTCGTCAAGGATGGAGTCATCATCCTCGAGGATGGTCGAGTGAAACAAGAAATCTCGATCAAGTTGCAGAATGTGGAGCGTGGTGTGCTCGAGATCGAGCTCGAGTGCGTGCCTCTTACACAGTAGATAAATCAGGCAGATGTGAACTTCAGTAAATATACACAAGTGTAGCAGTAAGTCGGTAGTTTGTGAGTACTGCTTGTGACTTTTGGAGCCCCTTGATTATTATTGTTATTAATCATGCTTCAGATTGTTAGTTCATCAGGACGACATTGTTTGTGAGCTTTTGCACCTTGGAAAGGAAGAGTTTTTGTGCTCGAATTTGAGAGGTTAGATTATGAAGCTGTTAAAACTTCAATATTTTGACTCGAGATGTGTAAATTTATGTATTACATTTTTTTTCTTTTTTTTCAGATTTTTATTTTGGCTGTAAAAAGAAAAATTGTAAGAACGCGTATTGTGCAGTGCCTAAGGGCAGATATTGTGAATGAAATATTTAGATTTCAAAGGATCCATAGGAAGATGTATGGTCCCGTTATGAAACAATTCTGTCGTGTTTGTAACCGAAAAAAAATAGTTGCCATTAGTTACTCAACATCAATCAAAACATGTTAAAAGTAGGAGATGCCAATCAAGCGAACGGGTACATTTTATCAACTCGAATGAATATCATGCACGTTGTCTACCGACATTGAACAAGTAGTTCCAATTTGCATATCACTAGAGAGCACAGGCCAGCCATAGCAAGAGGAAGAGCCTTCCCTTAACCACTAAATTACCAAATATATGGTCTAACAATTCTGTAAAAATCACCCGATAAGACCATAGAATAACCATGCTCTTTTGCCCCATCAATTATGCACTCAAATGATCGTATTGACACGCCACTTTAGAAACAATTCCGAAGCAAACTACCACCGGAAAAAAAAAAGAACAAAAGGGAAAAATAAAGTGAAGCTTATCACAAACAGATCAGAGAACAACTTCAAGTACTCATTTAAATCAACAATATCAAAATCAATTAACTTTGAGATACATATGTTCACTACAAGAAGCACATACAATGCATCAGTTTACATAAGTATCCATTCATCAAAGTAACAAAATCAAGCCCACCTTACAATACGATTGATCTTGTGCGCAAACAAACGAAAAGCAAACTGCTGAAAAATGAACACTGATGATCCTCAAAGGAGAAGCAAACAGAAGACAAGATGCTATACATTATTAACAATAAGGTATAAGTCATCATAATATATTGTAATATATCAGTGTACGCCGCAAAAAATTCCCGCAGCATATTAGCCATATGTGCACACGTTAACACAATGGCTCTCCATATACAAACGAATAAAACAATACCAACACAGGACAAATGATCGATCCATTCGCCCTAGACGTTTGAATTACACACAAACCATTTTGTACATAGCTGATTTTGCATTACCACACATATCTATATTTTTATGTGTGTGTTCTTCTTTTCCTTTTCATGTTTTCGCAATATTCGAATAACTATCCACGATGCAAACGTTAAGACCACACACGCATCAGCTTCCGACTAAATTAAGAAATTTCGAAACTCACGCACAACACAGGGGACACCTCACGAGCCCATTCTCGTTGCATTCAGGGCACCTCTTTGGCTGCTCCTCATACTCATCAAACACCTTTCGGCTTCCATCGCAATTCGTGCACGGAATAAACCTGAAATCATCACAAGCATCGCAAGGCTTCATTGCGCGCAAAGGGAGCCCTTTAATCATCCTTGCCAGCTCACCCACCTCAAGCATATGCTTTACCACCTCAGTTCCACCAATATATCTCCCTTTAATGAAAACCTGAGGCAAGCTTACGCTATCTTGGCCGAGCACCTTCTGCAATTCCTTCCTGTAGGCAGCGTCCATCGAGATGTCCCTCTCGTCCAGATTCACCCGAAACCCTCTGAAGATCAGCCTTATACTGTGGCAATCCTGGAAGGTTCTCCGAATTCCTCGAAGGCTGGTGAAGTAGACTACGACCCTGTCTTCTGTGCCCGGAAGCTGGACAATAGGAGACGCAATCTTGGCATCCGCGCTCTGATAATCCGTCAACGCCGGTTCGTGAGCTTTAGCGGAGGTGGGCGGCTGCAGGGGCTCTGAATTTTGGCCGGGCGAGGGGTGTTTCGTGGATTCGAAAATGGAGCACAATTTCCTGACCTTGTCGGAGAAGGAATTCCCGGCGGACGCCGCGGAGCCGTAGGAGCCCTTGACCGAGCCGTTGCGCTGGAAGGCAGGGGCGGTGTAGACGCCGTACAGCGGTTTGTTCAACGCCGCCGCCGCCGCTACCGCCGAGGAGGCGGAGGAATTCACCGTCATAGAGCGATTGAATACAGAGGGCGGGTTGGTCTTCCCGCTGTTCGGGGGCTTCTTCCCCGCCGCGTGACCTGGCCCTTGATTCTTGCGGTCGGCCATCAATTTGGGCAGCGATTGGACAAAAAAGAGATCGAGGGTTTTGCAAAGATCGGAAATTTCGGGCGGAGGCGGCGCGGGGGCGGCCGGAGATGGTTTTTGGGGCTGGAATGGAAGGAACTGTAGGAATTGTAGAGAGAGAATTGGAAGATGGGAAGGAATGAAAGGAAGAAGAAAATGGAATTTTTCAATGGGGCCTCACGGTATAAAGGACGCACGTAGAAAATACGCGGGAGAGGATACCTTATTATATATA